TCTTCTTTATTTGCTTACCTATATTTTGGCTTCTTAAAAAGGTAATATACTTATTCTGTAGAAATTTATCTATTTTTAGGTCACCATATTGTTCTACAGCTTTATTTGAATCTATGGTTTGTACTTTGCCCTTGTTATAAATTTTGTTTGAGAGAGAACCGGACTTTTTCTCCCCGTATCTATCTTGATCAACTGGTGTGACATTTTAGAAGCAGTCAGTTCATCCTGACTCTCTTCTTCTTTATTGATTGAATCTTGATTTGCTTTCAAGCTTAACAATTCTTCCATTCAGTTTTTCCAGGTTTGTCAATATGAGCTTTAGTGGGTCTTGCCCATCTTCAAACTCTGGTTCATTATATTGTTTCCTATTTTGATTTTCTAGTAAACTTCTAGGGTTTTTCAATGGTATCCTATTACTTTCTGTTGCTGACAGCCTAGTGTTCTATGATGTCTTTGTGGGGTGTTACTATTTTGACCTTTATACCTTTTCCTTTAATTAGTTGATCACTTATATTTAATGGTTGTATTAGAGCTTATTGATTCACTGTCCGATGTTAAATTTGATATGGGTTCAATATCTGTTTCTACTGTTCTATACTCCAGTTTTCCTTTTAATTTTTCAATTCTATATTTAGGATTTCTTATGGTTTCTTCTATGGCTTTTACATTCCAGGATAGTCTTAGTCCTTGCAAGAAAATATACTGCTTGCAAGCTTTTGTCAGTGCTTCTTTTGTTGTAAAATATACTACTGTAAAGTTTTGTTTTTTCAATATATTAGAGTTTCTTGGTATATAACAGGTCTTAGCTTCTATACTATTAAGTATCCTGGCTACCAAACTTGAGAGTATTCTATTTGTGCCTAAGAGTCTGGCTGAATGTTTGTTTTATTCAATCAAAACTTTATTTATTTCTTATCGGTTAGTTTTTCTTTAGTGAAGATTGTTCTTATCATTTCTATTCCAAGTGGTGTCATCCATATTTCTTCAGGATTGGTTTTGAAGTGTTTATACTACTTGAGTTAGGTCTTTACTCTGGTCTTTATTTTTACCTTATAGATATCAATGTTTTTAACATCTCTATATCTTTTTAGGTATTATTTTATATAGCTTCTGGAGAAATTGTGATCCATATTCACTAGACTTACATACCATATGTCTTTGTGTTCTTCTGGATTATAGATTCAAAATATCTTTTTCTCCATTTTGTCTATAACCGATTGATTTATGTGTTCTTCTTTTTCTGGTTCTAGTCATTGGAGACTAAAGGCTTTTTTTTTTCTGTTTACCTCTTCTAAGCATTTAAGGAGATTTTTTTTTTCTTTAAAATGAAAAATCAGCTATTCATTGTCATTAATAAAACTTTTATGAAGAAGGTTTCATTTATCCTGAGATAGTTTTAAGACATTGCACAAATAGGTTCTAGATTCCTTTTCTGAGCTTCCTGGAATGTTTGCTGTCATGGCTCCTAATTAATATACTCTTTTTTTACTTATATAGTATGGATTTGAAGTGGGTTTTGTAGCTCTATTTCTTGTACTGTATAAGCAATATTCATTTATATTTTATCTTTTGATCTTTTCTCTCAATATTTCGAATTCTATTATCTTTTCTATCTCTTCTTGTTCTTGAACATTAGACATTATAATCTCATTACCTATTGTTAGATTATTTTCTATCTAAGTGATGGTCTCCATAGGAAAAGTTTTTATATTTTTTGAAATATCTTTTTCTTTTTTAATAATTTCAAGAAGTTCATTTTTGATATATAGCTGAAGCAGATCCTCTTCTTTTCTTTTCCAAAGTTACCAGAGGTAGATTATATGTTGTATTAAGATTCATTTTTTATGAAACGTCATCTTGTCTACTTCTAAGATACTTGCAATAATATTATTAAGTATTGTACAGGATTCTGGGGCTGGTGCTTCTTCTCCCACTTGAATAGTAGCTTGCCCCTGTCTGGCTATTTGTTGTGTGGCCCATAATTCATTATGTTTGTTATGTTTTCTTGCAAGTCAAATTAGAGTATCAATAATATCCTTTTCTCTATTATCTATTATTTGTAGAATATTTTTTGTTTTATTCATTGTGCACGTAAATAGTAGCTAATAAGGGATAAATCATGTAGTGTTGTTAAAGTCACATGGGATGAAAAAATCTTTTACGTGTTTTGTTTCTTGTTTTAGTAATTTCCTATTTTTATTTGTGTCTTGATTTTGTTTTGATCAGACATATGTTGTTTATTCCTTCTTTATCTAGTATTGTTTACTTGTTTACACTAATTTGTAATATTGTATTACAGATTCCAGCTGTTTTGTTTATGACAATCACGTCTTGTGGTGATGTTGTGATTGAGGATCTTGTCAAATCTGTTTGCTCTTGTTGTGCTATTGTGATAGATCTTTGTTGAACTTGTTTTGACAACAGGTCTATATACATGTATGTGTTCGTATTACTCTGGCTAGGTATTTTGATATTTGCAGGGTGGAGTATATATATTAGGCTGTTTAGATCTTAAGAAGCTTTGATATCTTTCTGGGTCTTGAGAAATTTGAGGTTTACTTGATTTATCGAGCAAATCTACTTTCTTTAAGATTCCTTGTAGTGTTAAGAAAGGTGTCAACCTGCACTGGCCTGGTTACAAGCACTGTGAAGTTGATATTGACTTCCCTTTTCTGACTGTGAATCAGTTTATGTTGATTTCTTTCCTTCTTCTTGAAAAAGAAAAAAAAACCAAAGTTGTTATTATATGTATGTATTTTTCAACAATCTACTGCTCTAGGGCTATGTACGAAATATTGTTTTGTATTAGAATGACTGTTGTATTTAAAAAATTTTTTTTTATAAAATTTAGTATTATATTATAAATATAAAGATTGGATTTTATATATATATATTTTTTAAAAAATTTTTTTCTTTATTATTTTTATTTATAAATATAAATTTAAATATTTACATTGGTTATAATTATATTATCTATTAAAACTATCAATAATACTATAACAATTGCTATTAATTTTATTTTTATAAATAAAAGCTAATTATTAATTTTTATTTGAAATTTATTTTTTTTTATACTCTTTCTATTTAAATTTATATTATTTTTAGTTTCATTTTTTACTTTTATGATTAATAAGTAATCTATTATAATAAAAAATCTTTTTTTATTTAGTTTTTGATTTCATTGAAATTTTTCAATTAAATAATCTTAATTTATTTCTTTTTATATTGTTTCTAATAATCTTTTTTATTGATTTGTTTTTAAATATATTTTTATTAATATAAAAGATTAATTATTAATCTCCATTGATAAATTTTTAATATTTCTTTTGTTTTAGAATATTCCTTATATAATTCTTGATTTTTTTATCAGTTTCTCCTAAGATATTTGCTGTTTTATATACTTTGCTATAGTATATGGGTAATTATTTTCGAAGGCGGACAGGACTCCATAATTTGCATTATATACGTATTATTAAAACTGGGGGGGCCGAAAAAATCATAATTAGTATTTTGGTCGCCTTCAAGAATAATTACCCATATAAAGAGAAAAAAAATTTTTTTTTTACATAATATTATCGCATTGATTGCTAAGGAATGCCGGATCAAAGATGGATTCTTAATATGACATGTCTCACGTTCCATTTTTCTTTAATAAGCACACTTAAAAGAGAATAAAGTAATCATTACATTATGTGCGAAAATTAAAAATGGTTGTTCTGCGGATTGGCTCGGAGCGCGGATCTCCATTGGGCATGTAAAGTTTCGGAGGTGCCACATGTAATTGGTATATCATAATTGGCTAAGAGAGCCAAGAAAGGATCAAGTGTTACATTTCAAGATTTTTCAGGATTCTTATTTTAATTTTAACCAAAAGGGGAGGTGATTGAATAATAATAAGCCTTTGATTTAAGAAAGAGATGGCTTGGCTGTTGCTGACAAAAAAAAAGCACGGGAAAATCTTTGGGGACAAAGCCGTTACTCAATTTTATTCTCACGCCCAATTCCTAAAAAGGGGCTGTCATTTTATCTCCGTTGTCGCGGGAGTATCTAGCAAGAATGTGTTTGGTTTATTTGGATTTTCAATAAGTATCGGTTATAATCGAGGCTTTTTCACCAATCCTTGAAAAAATAATCAATCAAGTTGTATTGTTGATTCGGGTCCCCTTGTCACACAGCAGTGCATCAAACAAGCACGTATGTACGTACGTACGTGCGTACGCGCGCGATGCCTTGCATCCCATTAAGATAAGATATTGTCACTCGGAAAGGTTTACACAGATGCGATGTGAAATTTTTACGGCAAACAAACAATCTCCTGTTCTCATTGGTCTTGTGAGTGTGTGCAGGTTCAACATTGAACGCGCATGCATAATTTTCGAAATTTCCAGTTAATTAAACTTCGAATGTTACATCGAGTCTATGTCAATTTAGCCTTTAATGATGGTCTCGAGTGAAAAAAATCATAAGCCCCGTTTGACCTAAATAGCATACAAATAAGTACATACGCTTATAGCACATTTAGTGCATGGCATGTTGTCACGGATACGTTATACATTTTCCCGAGACCAACTAGCCCCGATGTAACTAATATAAAACCAACAAGAGGGGAAACAATTTTATCAAAGTGTGCATAAAGTTTGGTGTTAGACTTTTTTATACGTAACACTGAAGATCTTGATTATTAAACGCCCGCATTCACATACTGATTGGTATAAGAAAAAATAGTATAAATTATATTTTCACGCCGATCAGAGATAGATGCACCGTGACTCTTTGGTGAAACTGTAAACAAACTTATTTGCCTGGTAATCATTTGAACGTGCATCAATTAATAACAGAACATCTACCTGCTAATATACAAACACGTTGTTGCATTTATAGGAAAATGTACTAAATGTATTTTTTACCTTCGGTTTTTAAAGGGAAAGTGGTATAAAAAGGCGTTTCACTACTCTATCGTTCAAAGTAAAAAAAAAAAATTTTTTTCTCAAGTCCTAAGCATGGGTGAATCGAATAATTCGAATGCGCGAGGGTAGGTGTCGTACGATGTACTGTATATACTTTTCGATGATTGTGAATTGACGCTATGTCGAATACAGGCGCAAGCCACGCAAGAACAGCAAATCAACTGTCAACGCGAATTCCAACAAGAAAAAACAAACATCACCCAAGACGGTAAAAAAGGAGTTACCGCCACCAGATAATAACGAGTCACCACATTTGATGCCTCTAAACGAAACCGATCTTCCCACCGAATCATCATTCTTGTCGATCTCCTCTACAATCACAACTGATCCGTTGATGACCGATTTTTCAACCGGCGAAGGACACACATTCGTCTGCGATCCTCCCATAATCAATATCGCCATAGAAATATTTATGAATATTTGTGAACATCTTCCACCCAGCGATTTATTATCGCTCGTGTTGGTCTGTCAGAAATTCAGAGAGATCTTATGCAACGTGTCTCCTATTGCCCAAAAAATTTGGAAAACATCAAGGTTAAAATTTCTGCGATATCTCCAAAAGCCAGCTCCACCTGGAATGGACGAGAAAGGATATATTGTGCTCAGGCAATTAGAAAAAGGATGTCAATTTTGCCGAGATCATGGATCCGGTTTCGTCAAGGTATACTGGGAATTCCGGGCGAGATGTTGTGAAACATGTTTGGACAAGAGGACTACGAGGTAAATATGTTGCTTAACACGGAATCTGAATACCTTTTTTTTTTTTTTATTTGATGAACAACATTTTGATTTTCCGTTTCATAAAATCACAAAGACGCGACATACTCTACATTGATTGGATCATCCCTGACATAGTACTCCGCACCTTACCTTACATGTATCGTGGTGCCGCTCAGGTTTATTGGACAAATGATGTTCACAAGGCAATGGCGGAATACAATATAATTCGTGAGAGCTGCGAAACCGAGGAGGAATTGCTAAATTGGGCTGATGAAAAACAAAGGTTAGCAAATAAGATGATGGAGGATGCGCCTTCACATGAACGGGAGGAACATGAAGAGCAAATCTCAAAGTTGGAAGAGAACATCGAGAGATCATATTCAATGGTTAATGATGTGCAGCAGCACATTCTTGGCAGGCCAACTCAAATAATTCCATCTATGAGTAAGTTTTTTCCGTTTCTTGGACATGCGCCCATAAATGGTTGATTAAAAAAAAAAAAAAAAACAATTATTTTCAGACTTCATACCCATGGGGTTGACAAATCATCCCCATCCCATCGTGAGTCCATTGGTTGGTCCAATATCAAATCCCGTGGTAAGTCCCTTGATCAGTCCGATGAGCCCAAACAGTCCGATGTTGGCGGATCGGATGGTAAACCCGACCATGCTATTCACGAATCCGTTGGCACAGGTTAACCGGGGGCAATATGTGGTTCCGACTCAATTTTCTGGTACATTAGCCCACAATCGACCACAATTCATGATTGCCGCACCTCCTGCTCAACGATTTTTTCCTGCGCAACTCATGTCACGCATTAATCGACAGAACTATTATGGAATAGGGCAAATGCAACAGCTTCGTCGTTATTAAAGAAAAAAAAATCCTTTTTTTTTTTTTTTTTTATTATTTTGGTTTCTTAAAAATTGTATATAGTGTATATGAAAAATAATTGAAAAAAACGGCTGAATATTTTCAGTCTAAATTGTTTATACAAAATAATAAAACATTTGTGAATAGTTTTATAAAAGAACGATTTTTATGAT